TGATTTTTGGACAATTACAATAAATTACCCTACGAGAAATTAATGATTTATTTTTTTATGTCGAAAATCATTTACATTTGTCGTCTTGTTTCAGCAGTTTCAATTCCTCCGCACCGATTTGCATTCGTACTTGTACAGTTTATCAATGACATGCAAAACTCTCTCTTTATCTGATTTCTTCTTATTTTATTCAGTCATTAGAATTGGTGAGTTACACAATCGTCCGACTGACTTACAGCGATGTAAGACTATTTCCGCATATGACATCATTGCATGAATAACGATGAATAACCATGTGTTGTACCATACTAATTTATCTATGTGTTGTACTTTACCATGACAACGTATAGGCTTGTTAAATCTTTACGTCGATAGATTTAAATATAAAGTTTTACTACCAAATACGTCATTGAAGGCAATGAGAGCATATGTATGCTACGCAGAAATCAGTAGAATGACGAGTTTTTTGCCGAAAACATTGTCAAATGTCATTTTAAAGTCCATGGCGTAAGGAGGCGTCCACGTGAGGATTTTAGGGGAAGAGGGGGTTTGACAAAAAATCACGAAAAATCACGTGGGGGGTAGGGGTCTAGTGAGATATCACGTGTATTTATTTTTTACCTAGATTTTCAAAGAAACATAAATTTTACGATTTTTTTGTAAATTCGAAAAATTTGTTCGGAAAATTTTACTTAATATACTTTTGCTTATTATTTATTTATTTATTTATTTATTTAAATATATAGCCCACAGATTTCTCCAAGAGGACTCAAAAATACAATTATTTGACATAATGAATAACAATTAAAATATACACAAAATTACAATATATAGTTAGTAACATAAAATGCTAAGATAAAATTTCATATAATGCAGAATGTAACAATAATATTTATAAACAGAAAATAATAAGATATTTGAAAGAAAATAAAAAGATTAACTTGTGCAGATGGAGATTATTTGATTAGGTGATGTGTTGTGAATGTCTATTTCATTATTAATTAAGTTAAAGTTAGAGGACATTAGTAAAATTGGCGAATTTAAGAGAGAATTAGATTTAGGGTGGGATAATTGAAAATAATTGTGAACGCGAAGATAGCCTTGGAACATTAAAGGATAGTTGATTGAGAATAAGAGGACAGTCTATAGAATTATTGCAAAGCTTAAATAAGAACATAATTGTACAGATAAATCGACGTGAGGCAAGGGAAGGAATACCAAATTCTTTTAGTAAAGTGTTGTGGTCAAAGCCACGTTCAGGGTAAATTTTATATGTTTTATAATAAAGGTATTTCAGAAATTTTCGCTGAACCTTCTCTATCGCATCAGAGTTGTTGATATGATGAGGATACCAAATAATCGAACCGTATTCTAATTTTGAACGTACAATAGAATAGTACATGCAAAGAAGTGCATTGGTAGACTTAAATTGTTTACAATTTCTTAGTATCAAACCTAAAGATTGATGTGCTCTATTGCAAATATCAATATTATATTATACTTAATTCGAAATACACGAGACGTTTGGTGGGGGAGGGGGGTCCAAAAATCTCTAAAAATTCGATCACGTGATTAATGGACGCCTGCTAAGTGGTTGGTGCTATGGGATTTGGATCAGAGATCCCAAGTTCTATAACCACCTAGAGCAGCCTGATGTTATTGCTGCATCAATAAAAATTCGTTCCTATTAGGGGGAGGGAGTAGCGTGACAAAAAATCACAAAATATCACTTTTTGGAGGGGAAGGTCTAGTAAGATATCACGTGTATTTATTTTTTATCTCAATTTAAAAAATTTTACGGAAGAATATTATTGGTCTTTATTGGTCTGAAAATATCAGCATTTTAATACTTCGCATTTTAGCTCTTCGAATTTCATAATGATGTGATGTGAAAATAATTGAATTCAAATAAAGTCTATGTGTCTATCTATCTACCTACCTACCTATGTATCTATCTTTCTACCATCTATCTACCAATACATGCCAGTAGTATTAAGAGTGGAATAAATATGATCTTTGAAAATATGAGTGCACTGTACTCTTTTTGAACTATTTTATTAAGATATCGTAAGTACAAATCCTCCAACATTGCCTTATGCAGATGGTATAATCTACCATTTACTCATTATACCATATGCATAAAATTATGTATATATATTTAAATCATGATGAGACAAATCATTAGCGTTTGTAACTTGAACATTATTTACATGGTAATAAAATAGCGCAAAATTAGTGTGTTCATATTTTCAAAGGTTATATATTTGAAATATCAACAGCCAATAAATCAAAAATAAATTAACAATAAATAATATACACGTTCCGTCATTAGTACATTACCACATCATTAAAATTTGCGCTTATCAAAGAACCGTTGATTGGTTCTGCAATGTTAAATAAAGTAACTGTAATTTTTATCTAAAGTGCAACAATTTGCTAATACAGTGAAACGAGAAACTTGAGATAAGCAAACCCAAAACATTTTTCGCGAACGATAAATAAAATATTATTGGCCAGCACGTTGTGGAATTCAAGTGCCTGTAATTGTAGACGTTTAAATTTGTTTGTTTGATTTTAAAAAATTAACAGAGCACGACAATGCCTCTTAACGGAATGATCGTAAAAATGCCAAGCGCGACTAATGGCACTGGTATAAAATATTCAGAATTATTCGAACTGCATGTACACTTTTTAATGGAACTGATTTTATTATTTTAAAGCTTTAAAAGATTTATATTACAAGAATGACACTAACTTTTGCGCCATATATTTGATTTGTATAAAATTGCATGACTACGAAGTATGATCAATATCTATCTGAATATAAGTATGTACTGTGTCTGAAGTCTATTTCATTAGGATACATTGAAGATATGGAAATTCGACTATGGGGCCAATTCTCCGATAAAATATAAATGTTATTGTAACTACATGTCATGGGTCTATCTTCGTATGAGTAGCAGTCAAAAAACTATGTATTTCCTGTTCAATCCCAGGAGTTTCACACATTAAACCTAACTTTTCTCACGTATATGTTATATATAGTCCAGTCATTTAAGCTTAAATTAGGTAAGAACCTCGAAATTCGAGATACCCACCTGTAAGTCTGTAAATAATCACAGACTATATTATTACTCAACCTACATATGGTAGGGTGTACGCAACAGATGTAGGTTTTGAGACAACTTTTAGGAGTCAATATACAAGTATCTACAGACTTACAGCTGGGTATCTCGAATTCCAAGATGAACTTACTATAATGACTGGACTATCAATGAGACATGCATTTATGATAAAATTGTTATTTAAAGTTTGTGCGTTTTGTTTCATGTGTAAAACGCCTGGTCGCGGACACATCGGATACATAGCTTTTTGACAGTTCTTACTACCAATTCATACGAAGATAGACCCATAACATAGCGTCACCATAACATTTCTATTTTGGCGAGAAATTGGTCCCTAAGACACTTACTATTGCGCTACATATTTATTTATATAAAATTGCATGACTACGAAACATAATAATATCTGCCTAAATATAAGTAGGGGAGACTGGGTACGGTAGTGACAGTTGTCATAACTGCTAATCTATACTGATATTGAGATAGGGTCCAAAGAGAGAAAGATGAAGTATGTTTGTCCGAACAAGTTTCCTTTATTGCATTAACATGATCTGTAGACCGAAATCCAGAAGAAAGGTTAAGTTTTAGTGCAAAGTTTTAAATAGCCAAAAGAAAGGTTAAGTTTTTGTGCGATTTATTTTAAAAACAACTGTTACTTGTATACAGACAGATCACTTTGTTTATTATTTTGCTGTAACTTAAACTTTAGTAGTTAATTACCAGCAATTAGTTCTGATTTATGCAACATGTATTGCTTGTTCTCTTTGGATGAAAATTAAACAGATAAAGAAAAATCTATCTTCTAAAGACAAAATACAAAAAAGGGAAAGAAAAATGCCTCAATCAATGCAAGGAAACAAAAAATGTCACAAAGATTTTTTGTTTAAAAATTATGTTTTGTTATATATTGTTATATTATATTCGTAAGCTTTGTTCAAATAATTATGCTATGTTATGTTTACCATTTCTGACAATAAAAGTCGTTATAAACCATTTTGGTGTTTATAACTATTGTTTTTAACCTATTTTTATGCATGTCACAACCGTCTCTCGATGTGTGGACGGTTGTTACACTCGCACCTTTCTTATATAATTTGACTTTTTACCTAATCCATCTATTTAATTATTTAAGGATAGCATTTCAATATTTCCACTTAGATAAATGTTCCAATTACCATTCAATTTACTTTACTACCAGCTAACTAGTAAATTAACAAAATCATTAAATAATCAAAAACAAAGTGGCACAACCGCACCCGGTCTCCCCTACTGTGACTGGAGTCGATAAATTGAAGTTACTAGAAATTAGACCACATATTACATTGTTTATAACTACGTTATAAAACTAACAATGTTTTCAAAACAAGAGCTCCATTGCAATAAACCAGTTTGTTACTAATCAAAGTTTAGTTAGTTTGAGGTTTCGAACTAACTATCACGATTAAAACTCTATTCAGTTGCAAAAAATTACAAATTATAAAATAAGAAAGCATGTAATTCTAAGAAATTCTAAGCTTATTCTTTAATGAGACTCCAGGCAATTATAAATAATAATTTATAATTGCCTAGAGTTGCTATGGCTATTGAAGTATACTATTTTTCTAGAAATTGCGATATTTTACTTTCTCTATATATCGAATATTTTTTACCGTGAAATTAAATATTCTTAAAACATGAAAAAATTAGCATATAAAGTATGTAATGCATTTTTGATTTTCATATTATTTGAAATTATATATTGACACTTATTTTAAGTTCTCACGAATATTTTTCGAAAATTCTTTGCAAAAAGTGATGAAAATATTAATTAAAGTATCACATTTGATTATAATTCGACCTATATAAAATATTAATTTATTGCTCTTTTTTTCAGAGATGTCGCGATGAAAGTTGGAGAAGTTATCACTGCTTTAGGAGAAGCATCTGCAAATGCACAAGGTTTGTCCCAACCAATAACCACAGGACATAAGGTTAGAAATCAAGATCACAATGTTTACGTCCTTACAGACCCAAATGGTAGAGGGTGAGTAAATAGATTTCTGAGACAGTTATGGGACGATTCTGCCGCACAAGAGACCAATGTTATGGCAAGGCCATGTTACGCTCCAAATTCCACACATTATGCTACTGAATCATACCGAATACTGTCAAAATGACATGTATATACCGTGTATTCAGGCGTTTTACACATAAACTGCAACGCCACTGGTATATTTTGAAGTTGGGTCAGAAAGACCCTGTTATCTAAAATCGTTTTTTGACATCTGTGCGGTTTCTAGGTTAGATTTTCTATCTGATAACCTGAGAAACACGTATGGAATTTAGTATGGAAAGTTCTTCATAACAGAGCCTTGCCATAACAATAACATTTAATAACATTTGTCTGTTATGCGGCAGAATCGGTCCATTAATTTAGTTTTTCTATCATAATGTTAATAGAAAAGATAAAATAGACGTCTGGAATTTTGTAGCTTCATTTTTTATACATTCCCTGGAACTCATCTTTATTTAATTCTTGACTCAAAACATTTTTTGAATCATTGATTAAATCATTTATTTTGCAGGGGTCGAGGCACGGTGACTGGAATTTTGAAAACGGGTAAGAAGAATTTGTACGTTTTTGATGACAAAGGTGAACACAAGCAGGTAAATCCAACTTGCGTGTTAGATTTCTATGTTCATGAGTCCCAACAGAGAGCAGGAAAAGGAAAACAACTTTTCGAACATATGTTAAAGGTATATAATACATGTGTTTATAAATGTATAATTTAAAAATAGTTGCAACTGGTTTACGACGATAAATTATGTTACTGCATAATCTAATCTGTTGTTAGATATATAAGAATGAATTTTCAGAATGGTCTATATGCAATCTAGGTTATATAGTCTTTGTTCTACAATGAATGGTAATATTTGTCTAATTTTCTTAAATTTTAGGAAGAGCGTATACAGCATCCGGCTCAGTTAGCAATTGACAGACCTTCCTCCAAACTGCTGAACTTTTTGGGCAAACATTATGGGTTAACGAATAGTTTACCACAGTCGAACAACTTCGTGGTTTACGATGAATTCTTCAAAGACCCGAAAACAGCGTCAAGACAAACATCCAGACATAACAGGTAACAGCAAAATCATTTTTATTGTTTTATTCTCAAATCTATCTTATTTACAAATATAATAATTCAAACAATGATGTGTAACCCCTCTAAATAATTGAAAATAATTATATGATTAACACCATAACTTTTTTGGGAACTTTTTGAACTTAGAAATGGTGGCAGGTTTCAAAATTAATTATTTTATAAGTTAATTTTACTTTTATTGGTGAAAAAAAAACTAACTGCTTGAATAATAGCGCACAACTTTCGAGGGCAAATGGACTTCAAGATCCAAGGAACACAAATCAACCAACCTACCAGGGAAGGTATGGAGCACCTAGACCGCCTTGCTCTATGGGACAGGTTGGTGAAAAGCTTATTGCAATAATATGATAATTATATGATTTGTAATCACACACTTAAAAACGTACATGGTTAAGGAACTAAGAAGCATATCTGATAGGCAAATTCGCCATTATAATCATTAAATAAGTTGTCTCTATCGGATTTCACTTGAAAAACAACAGTAATATATCTGAAAAATCAAGTTACTAAAACACACATTTCAGCATTCATAGACCGATTCTCCCACACAACAGACCAATGTTATGGCAAGGCTATGTTGTGAGAAAATTTCCATACTAAATATTGTCAAAAGCCATGCGGTTACTGTGCAGTCAGGTGTTGTTTTCAGAAAACCTAACCTAGAAACCGCACAAATATAAAAAAAACGCTCTTAGATAACAGGGTCTTTCTGACCCAGCTTCATAAATCATAACATACAAGTGACGTTGCAGTTTATGTGTAAAACGCCTGAATGCCCAGCAAATACATGCCATTTTGACAGTATTCAGTATGACTCAATTGCATAATGTATGAAAGTTGGAGCGTAACATGGCCTTGCCATAACATTATTCTGTTGGGCGGGAAAATCGGTCCATAAATTCCCATTAATCAAACAGTCGTTTTTACATTTGTTAGAATAGATGCACAAGATATTTTCAACTATTGATTTTTTATATAAGTTGTTAACTTCAATGAATTAAAAGTATTAATGATGAAAATATTTGTTTCAGATAATCCATAATATGCCTGCAAATAACGGCGTACTGACACAAGAACCTACTGGGTAAGACGACTTGTTTAGATATTGGTGGTCTTAGTTGACGTGAGGAACAACGTACATTTCAAAATTTCATTAACAGGCAGTAGTGTTTACTAGGGAATGCAATACCGATCAAAAATTTAATTACCGGTATTTCGATATTTTCGACTTTTAAAACCGGTAAACCGGTAAATTACCGGTAATAAGATTATTTTTAAAAAAGGTAAACAAAATTGAAAGTTACTTATACAAATATAAAAAACGGACCTAATAAAGATAAAAAATAATAATAATAAAAACCAAAGAATAAAAGAAAAATTGAACAACAAAACATTTATTTTTAATAATAATGTAACAAAATAATATAAAAATTAATAAAATATAATTACATGAATAGAAATAGTTTATTATAATTACTTATGCGAACTAAAATAAGATTTTAAAAAACAAATATGATCTAACGTACCGTCGTCTAATCTCGATCTTATTTTGGTATTTATATGTTGAGCAGCTGAAAAAGCTCTTTCCGACACCACGCTTGTTGGCGGTATTGTTAATAAATGTTCATATGCAAGTTTTAGATGTACCCCCCTAACACATTTTGCTACTTGTCCTTGTTTGGCAACTAAATAATAATGTCATACAGAATTCACCTCGTTTCCTTTCTTATGTTCTTGAAATATATTGGTTTCTGAATTCATACTTTTGATTAAAAAACAATTGTTTTAAAATTAATAATTTTCCACAAGCACGAAGTAAACAAACTTTCCTAAAATTACTTAAAACTTCACTTATTGGAAAAACACTCCGCACTGAATTAAAAAAATATATTCTCAAATAATTAATTCAGTCAATTTATAATTTTGCACAAGCACAAATTTATCAAACTTCACTACAAAATTGTATCTACGTGTTGAAAAATAACTTTGCACTGAACTACTAATTTCTATTCTAAAGCAATTATTTCACTAAATTAATATAACTAAACAACTTTCGATCTCAATTTGTATCTACGTACTGACAAAACACTTTGCAATGAACAAATGGCTGTAGAGTTGTATTAGACGATATTTCAATTGGCACTCTAGTAACTTCCACAAAGAAAAATAATTCCCCGAATTAATGCATAAAGAAAATAGTAGTTCCCCGAATAAATTTAAATAAGTAAATACACTAAAAAAATAATGTTTCTCCGAGTTACTATATAACTAGTGCTAGAAGAGTCGAGACAAATTATCGATATCGAGTGCTGAAAAAATAATCGTTGCTAAAATAACAGTAACAAAAGTATTAATACTACTCAATATTGACTATTGAGTACTTTTTATCAAAATCAATATTTTACACAAGTTATTTTGATACTAAATTAATATACGAAACTTTATTTAAAACAATATAATGATCTTATACTATTCTCAAAATGCGACACTTTGTACGTGAAATATATTTAATTTTTTTTTAAATTTTCAATATTAAATTACAATCTGTTTTTTAATAAAAATACTTTCGATAATTATGATTAGCATGTATTAAGTTAGTATGTATTACCCACTAGTAAGCCCATGTCACTTTAAAAATCCGTTACATTTTTATATAAGATAAAATAACATCATTATTGATTAGTCCGTTCTATTTATTGAAACACGATATGAAGCCCTTTGAAAAATAATAAATATTCAGTTTAATGACGAGTCGAGATAATATTTTGACACATGTTTATATAACACAACAGCGTGAAGTGATATTTCTTGTCAGCGATCATGGGATTTAAAACATGTACATATGTAACATGTATCCACAAGCGCCATGTAAAAATATCGAAAATACCGGTATTTTTAAGTTATTTACCGGTAAAATTACCGTCGAAAAATTAAGCGGTTTACCGGTAATTCGGTATACCGGTAAACCGGTATTGCATTCCCTAGTGTTTACTATATAATTTAATAACACAATTTAAATCATTGGAATGTTACGTTTTCTTGCGTCAATTCGACTTCACAGATATCGATAAATTAGTAATACTACGTACTCGCACGTGCAAATTACTCATGCTTATAATATTTTTTTCTATTTACAGTTATCGTATGTAAGAGCATATAAACGTGCACAAATAATCCTGTTTTTCACTAAACCAAAAAGCCAATCATGTTAGTCGGTTCATTGCACAAGACTTAGGTCTCTAAAATTGATGTAGTACTTAATTTTAGTTATAGTTTGAAATTCTTATTTATTGGTTAAAAAGCACCAAATAGTGTAGAAGCTTCATATCATATTCCTTCCATTAGAATTATAATATTAATTTAATAGGTAAATATGTATAAATTATTGATAGTTTTTTACGAAATAGTTAAGTTTTACATATATTTATAAAAGTGTTATAGATTTTGAAATTGTGAAAGATAATCATTAAATTGTAATCATTTCAAGTTTTGGGAAATTTTCTGTATTAAAACAAATTACATGTTAATTAAGAAAGTAATAAAATTATTATTGTGAATTGAATTTTGGTAAACATGTATTTATTTTCCTTCCGATTTTCCTTTTCCTTTTTCCTTGTCCTATATCGATTTTTATATATTCCTTTATAGGCCCCATTTAAAACGGAACTCTGCTAAGGCTGCCAGCAGGGCTCCATCTAGCGTATCTGTGAAAAGTCGTGGTGTTTGTTGTTCGAAATCTTCGGATCGACCATACTACGCAAATCAAACTCATACCAATATCAAAAATATCATTCATCAATCTCCTTCAGCGCCTTCGTCTGATAAAAATAAATTTTACCAGAACCAGTCACAAAAACAATATACGAACCAAAACGCACAATCTCAAAAGCATTTTACGCCCGTATCTCCATCGCAAAAGCAGTATCAATATGAAAATCCATCTCAGAAACAATATATGTACGACAATCAATCACAAAAGTTCAACAACGCCATGAATCAACCTCGATTCATAGGTGATCAATCTCAAAAGTACATTCCACAGCAACAATATGATGGTGACGTATCCCAAAAGCAACAATATATGTCCCAAAAAATTTTTCCTGGAGATAACAGCCAAAAGCAAATGTACGCAAATCAATCGCAAAAGATTTTCCCTGGCGATCAATCTCAGAAGCAAGCTTTTGTGAATCAATCACAGAAATATTTTCCGGACGACCAATCTCAAAAACAATTTTATGTGAATCCGACAATAAAGCCTTTCGCTGGCGATCAATCACAGAAGTATGTCCTCATGAATCAATCACATAAAGTTTTTCCGGGAGATCATTCTTACAAACAGTGTCCAGGTCAACCTCAACAAATGTTTCCGGGGGAATTGTCACAGAAACATCCATTTGCGAATCAGTCATATAAACAACAATACGTCAACAATAACTCGCAAAAGATTTTTCCGGGCGAACAGTCTTATAAGCAGCCAATCTCGAACCAATCCCAAAAGATTTTTCCAGGAGAACAATCACAAAAACCAATGATCAAGACTTATCCAGGAGATTCATATAAGCCACCATTCCCGGTAAATAACTCTCAAAAAGTTTTCCCTGGCGAACAATCGCAAAAACAGCGATTTATGGGACCATCGCAAAAAATGTATCCAAGCGATAAACCACGTTATGAACAAAAGCAGACAGGAAAAATCTATTATAATCAGCAAAGTTATCCGAACGAACAGGCTGGAAAACAAGGACAGACGTTTGGTGTTTCAGATAAGCAGTATACTATAAAATATTCGCAAGAGCCTCCAGATCCGCAGCAATTGGCACAACAAGCAGATGTTTCTGGAACTGCTCCGATGTGTTTCACAGTTCAGTTGAAAGATACACCCCAGCGTGAATACGAAGCGAAGTACGAACCCGATTTAAATTCTTTCTTCAATGGGAATCCATCTGACAAAAGTCGCTCGCCTTATGGAAGAAACGGTAATTTTTTTTTATTTATTTGAACAGCAATCAGAACGTGTTTTAAAAGCTGTTATGATGTACTACCAAGCTATTGGAAGGCAACTCAATTGCTGCTCTCTAACTCATTTGTGATTTTACCTGGTGCCTTGCTGCATTGTTGCCTTCTAATAAAAATAATTTGTAGCAATGTCAAAAAGGGCCACTATTTCCACTCGGAAACATATTCGACCTGTATTTTCAAGTAAAAATAGATACCGTTCTTATTCTCAGGTTTTTTGAAACTCAAATTTTAACCAGAGATTTCGTGTCTTATCTGGTCAATTTTGTTTTTTGTTTTAATTTTTTGAACTTGAAGCAGAAGCAACTTCGAGATCGATAGCATAAACAAAAACTCACTATTTCAAATTTCTACACGTTTATAAAATTACAATAAAACGTTAAATTTTTTATTTTAAACAGTGCAATCCCCACCACCGTATTACATACAAATCCAACCTCCAATGATTCAACAAGCTCCAATTGTAGCTGGCAGTACTGATGCTCAAAATCAACAGCAAATACAGATCGAAATACCACAACCAAGCGCCAAAATGCCGGCAGAGCAAATGATGAATCAACAGCAGCCGCAATATTACATGCAGGTCAGATAAACTTTCACATGAATAAGGGTCTTTAATAAACAATTCTTCAAATGTTTAAATTTAAAATTTTTCCTTTTAAAATTCAATCAATTTTACCCATATTTTTATCAAATCAACTTTGTGTGCCAAATCGACAACAAATTGCAATCTTTGCAAACATGCCATGCAGCATTTATAAAATTTAGTGAACATTTTAGTGACAACTGTAAGTGTTTTGGAATGATCATTTTCCTAGGACGCAAATCGAAAATTACATGGTTTTTTATTTTAAAGTAAACAATGCTAATATTACTAATGAAAAAAAGTAATATTAACAATAAGGTCGATCCGAAAGGCTAAGACGGGGGTATGCAAAAGCTAAATAACATTACTGAAAAAATTACAGTGTAAAGAAATATAGTTTTTATAAATGTTCCCAGGAATCGCCTAAACAAGCCTTAGCTGATAATACAATGTCTGAACAAATGAAGAATGCCCACTTGACCAACGTAAATGGACCAGTTCAACCAATATATAACAATAAACGGTATGGTGAAGGCGGAGGAAGGTACGGTTTTGTTTATTTAAAATTTGCAATATTTTGTTAAGCAAATGAACCCTTTTGCTACTGCTGTACGGAACAGTAATCTACCCAGTAGAGCTACTAAGTCGGCAAAACATTTTTTAAAAATTTCCAATCATTACCAATAAAACTGTATATAAAAATTTTGAATAACACTTCTAAAAAACTGAAGCATACCATAGTTCTCAATAATCAGAGTGATAAATCTTGAAGTCTAAACATTGAAGTCGTCTATAGGCGACACCCGTATACATAGCTTGTCGCCTATAAGCGACGCTCGTAGCATAATAGTTAAATTTTTTTCAGTATATTCACACAAACTAGTGGCGCATGGCATCGTGCCTCAATGTAAATTGCTGGTACTTCCCGCACCGTAATTTCAAATTTTAACCAGTGGTTCATGGCATCTTGCCTTAAAGCAAATTGCTGGAACTTCCCAAATTTTAGAATTTTTAAAAAAGATTCAAATTTCTTTTAGAACTCTGAAAATATCGATTTTTGAGATTTTTAAAATTTTTGAAAACAATTGACCTTTTTGAAAAAGTTGATTTTTTTATAATTTGAAATATTTTGAAAATTTTGAACTGTTTTTCAAATCATTCGCAATACGTAAGCTACGGAGAAACGAACTATAGGAGCGCATGGGCACCTCGTCGCAGTTTAACCAATAAATATTGGTACAAAACCCATAGAAAAGTAAACAAAAGTAAACATAATTTGTTCTTATTATTAAAATATTTATGAAATATGTGATAATTTAATGTGTATATGTTTATTGATCATTTTTGTTCGCCAAATGGCATTTTTTGTCACTTTTTAATTGGATCTCCTAAACCGCATTTTGTCAATACAAATGAAATGCTTTTTAAATCATACAAGTCGGATGCTCCGTTCTCTCAAAAAATCTGTTACCATTTTTGGCACTTTTTGCCCCGTATCTTCTCATTAATACCAATCAAAGCACGTCTCCCTATTAATACCAATCGAATGTTTTTTAAATTATTCAAATCGTTTGACCCGTGTTCTCGAAATCGTCGACAAAAACTTGTATCCGCACATACACAGACACACACACATACATCAATTTTTTTTAAGATATGCCAAAATATTCCAACGTAAAGATATATAAAAAATTTCATTTTCGATTTGTTTGCGATTACTATAACTTACCCTACGGGAAGTTAAAGTTTTAATTTTTTTTTAACTTTGAAACCCATTTATATGGGTTAATCCATACTGTTGTAAATGTCATTTATCAGGACATGTAAGTAAACTATATAAGTGAACTTTAAACGCTATAAATCTTGGTATAGGACCCAGAAAATTGAAACAAAATTTGTACTTGTTATTAAAGTCTTTATAATCTGACAATTTGATATACCAATGCCTAATAGGTCCTCCAAAACCGCTGGAACTGCTTACCCAAAAATTTAATCAATTATTTATTTTGTCAATACAAGTGAAATGTTTTCCGAATCATTTAAATCGGACGCTCCGTTCTCTCAAAAACTGAATTGCCATTTTTGGCACTTTTAAAAACTAATCAGCACGTCTCCGTAATAATAGGAATCGAATGTTTTTTGAATCATTCAAATCGGTTAATCCATGCTCTTGAAATCGTCGACAAAAAATTGTATCCGCACACACACGCATCTATTTTTTCTAAGGTATGCTAAAATGTTCAGAAGGACTAGAAACGTAAAGATATATACAAATTTACTTTTTCGATTTTTTGACGTTGATGACGGCGGCGGATTGACGATGATGACAAATAAGTTTTAGTATCACCAATATAATAAAATGTGCCAGATTTAGTAATTAAATTTTTGTTTATAATTTACAGATCCTGCGGCCTGGATTGGAATGAACAGGTCGATTTAGAACTCGAGCAAGAACTGAGAGAAAAGCATTCTCATCTCGAACGAATGTTACGTGATGCTGATGAAGATGCACCCCCTACAAGAAGCGATGAAATGCTTTTTAAACAATAATTATAACATTTATTTTAGTTGAGATTTCTTTACATTTTATATAAATCATACTATGTAGCACATTAGCGTAAAAATAGATTACTGTATTTTTATTTATTTGAAATTTATCGACTTTATGTTCTGAATATAAAATTTAACACAATTGCGCATTTGATAATTTAGTT